ATCAGTTAAATGACGAAAAATTAGTTGTCTATTTACTTGTGACCACTCAGTGTCACTGAGTGACATTTGGCCACTACCTTGAAGGAGCACAGCAGACAGCTTGCACCACAGAATTTATTAGTCAGCCTGAGCTGACTGGGACTTGATATAAGCTAAAAATGGTACAAAGGAGAGAGCTTCAGTTTCTGGTAGACACATGAACAGTGAGGACTATAATGGATTTCGCAATATTTCAAGTCTACCAAGTATAACCAACATTATGACCTATGAATACTTATTTTGTTAAGGAAAATGGCAATGGACCAGACATTGGAGGAAAAAAGTGGATCTCGAATTCAATACAGGAAGTGCCACCTACAGAAGAAAAGTTATTTCTGATCTTGCATTTGGAAATGGAATATTCAGCATAGAACTACTGTGGAGATTATCCATCAGTTTTGTATGTGCAATGAGTGAGCTGATGTTCTGTGGAAAAGACATCCAGTGGTGTCCAGATTGAACCCTGGAACATTAAACTGCACGAGTTTCAGCAGCAAAGGGAATAACAGAACCTGCATGTAAACAAGTTTTGTTACTTGGTCTAATTGAGACAAGGTCTAATGCTTAGATGTCAAGTACCATAGTCATAGAAGTCATATATGAAATAAACTGATTCCTGTCCAAAAAGCAGTCTCGATTAGCTCAGTCTATGATACACCTAACAAGGGATGAATTCCTGGTGTTCTTTTGTAACTATGAGTGATCAGCTATTGAGTTGGATGCTTGAATGGTCATAGGCATGCTAAGCAGAGTTGAGGTAACTCATGCTAGTAGTAAGGTTAAGATTTCATTCATCATACTATGACTAAAATCAATTATGAGGCTTCTGAAGGTATTGTTGACAACTGTGTTGACAATCTAGACACAATGGAGCAAAAGCAACTAAATGATCTGTTGGTTGAAAACATTGATGTAATTGTGGGACCAGATTGTTGTTGAGTCAAACAACAGTGAATTATTACCATATAAGCACAGGAGATGCACGTTTGACAAAGCAACAACCTTGCCAACTTCTTTAGAGCACAAGTAAGGTAATAGGCACTGTAATACAACAGTTGTTGCAGAACAGTCATACAACCTTTAGAAAGTGATTGGTCATCTTCAGTAGTGATTGTCAGGAAAAATAAAGGTATTATAAATTCTGTGTAGATTTTAGATGGATGAAAATGGTTACTTGCATTGATGCCTTCCCTTTACCACAGAAATATGAATGACAAGTAGCTTCAAGTAGCTGTTGGAGTTTACACTGAAAAGACTGCAGTGGGAGAGATGCCTGGTCTACAATGATGCTTTTTGTGTTTAGCTACACTTGCAAGTTGGCATCTGAAAAACCTAACAGGATATTCCAGAACATGTGGAAGGCATGCTTGAAACTGAAACCAGGAATATGTTTTCTCACGTGAACTGAAATGGACTATTTCTATTACATTGTGTTGAGACAATCTTAATAGACCTGGCTAAAAAAACTACTGTGAGAGATTGCCGTCAATCCATGAGAAACTGTGAAGTTTGTAGTTTCCTTAATTTTGTGTCATACTACTGATTTGTGGGCAACTTCTCAAACATTGCAGCACCAATGTTGGCAACCATAAACGTGGAAGTGCACTTTCAATGGAGTGAGGAATTTAATCAGGCATTTTAATTCCTAAAGCTTGCATTAGTGGGTGCTCTAGTTCTGGTCTATTCCTGTCAAGAATTCGAGTTTCTCCTGGACACTGGCACCAGTGCCTACAAAGTCATTGCAGTTGCATGATGGAACAGAATGTCTATCTGCATATGCTAGTCATATCCTTATGACTGCAAAACACAGATACCATATAATGAAGAAAGAGCTGCTTGTAGTGGTTGTCTTTGTGAAACACTATTAGCACAATATGTATGAAAAGAAGTTCATTGTCTAGGTGAAACATGCTTTGCTTAAGTGGTTAGTAAACTTTAAAAATTTGGAAGAGATGACAGCACATTGGATAAAAACACTACAAGTTATGACTTTGTCATAATTTATCACCTGGGCTAGCAACACAAAAATGTAACCAGACTATTTTGTAACACAGGGAGATCTTGTCTGTCTGTGGAATGTCCTGACCACGGCACCTTAGGAGAGTTGAAACTATGCTGTTTCAGTCATATGAAATGCAAATAATGAGGTAGAGAATTCCACTGTCAAAATTAATATTTCAGGAGCTCTGTGACTAGCAACTGAAGGTCCTTAACATAGTGTGAGTGATGGACCTTGATTAGTAGCACAGACACATATACCCTGTAGCACCTGTATGAGTAGTTACGAGTGCAAGAAGGTGTGTTGTACCATTGTTACCAACCCATAAGGTGTGGTGCTTTGACACTGCTGCAACTAGTGTTCCCCAGAGATGCATAGCAAGAAATACTCCACAACTAGCTGCAAATCATAAAACATTAGCAGTTGTTTTCATGCCCTTAACTTGAATTTTCCTTATTCTATCATTTTCATTCAAACCATTTATGCTACACTTTATTGCAGGCATTATGTATTAGATTGATAAATCCTAGTCTATTTGAAAAATTTTTATAAGGTCAGGCAAACAAATTCATGTAGACGTAACTTTATTTAATAAAACTAAACATACATAACTGTATGTAATAAAACTACATGTAAAGTAAAGAATAAAGTAATGGTATTTATAATAGTGTACACAGTATGAAACAGTTATGAGTGTTTAGTATATGACTTGATCTTATGAGTTACACAAGGAAACTCAAAAATGAGAATAAAACTTATAGTAAAGAAAAAAGTAGCTAAAAAGTGTTCTATGAAATGAACTGAAGCTAAATTACTGCAAAGAAAAGTAAATATAAAGTTGTAATGAAGGCAAACCTAGCTGAATATGCAAAAATGTCTGAATGAATGTTCACAAAGTGATAAGCGTACAGTTTCTTATGATCTGCGCGTGTGTAATTTAGACCTAAATAAGTTGAGAAATCCCACACAAATTGTATTTAGTGTAATTTTCATTTTTTAGGAAATTACATGTAGATTAAGTGTTGTTTATGTGAAATACTTTGTAAATAAAAATAACTAAAGTTGAAACTGAAGCCAGTCATCACATGATGACAACAACATTAGGTCATCATGTACCATACTTGTTGCATTGAAAAGTTTGATTAAGTAAAAAATTAGGTAAGGTGATTCTGAATGGAAAAGCCAAATTGCAATCTGGACTCCTTAAACATTGGCCTTTCTAACTATATGAAATTTGCAGCATTTGATCAAGAAATGTGAGAAAAGTTCTGGAGAGACAAATGCAAGCATATTACTCATAGAGATATGCAAAACTTAAAGACTGGAGAGCACCAAGATGTAACCTCCACTTGAAGTATCATTCAATGGTAGTTCTGGCTGCCAGTGAGTTGAGTTATTCAGCACTGGTGTGAATTGTAGGGTGTGTGCTGCCCAGAGGAAAATAACTGACCAACAAAGATGATAGACCATAAATATCACTGTTTCACCCTGGAGAATGCAGAGATCATTACTATCTAGTCATTGCATAAAAAAAACTTCTATGAAACTGTTAAGACAGAAACTTTGAAGAAGTGCTGGACTATGTGGGCATAGGCCCCCATTGAGGTCCAGGAGTAAAGATATGACTGCCCTCCACATAAGTGCAATCCTAACATTCCACTGGATCATGAGTAATAGATACAAACACTTATAAAGAGATAATCTGGCTGAAAATAAAATCTGTGTTCCAAAGTTAATCTTTATTTTATTCTGAATAAAAAACGATTAACTTCATCAAAATAATGTATAGTACGAATAAGTAGTGTTCTAGACAATAAGTTCAACATATCTTCCCCTTTTTCAAAGTAAGTATTTAAAATGAATGCAGCATCAAAATACAAATTGCACAATCATTAATAGCTGCAAGAAAATGAATTGTATAAATTAATTTTCTATTAGTTCCCTTCAAAAAATTTCTAATATTATTTGTATTTATGCATATCATTTCAATCCATTCCAGTACACTAAGATTGGTAATTCAAATTTTCTGTCAGCTTCATATACAGTACAAGTGTAATAATAAAAAAAAGCAGTTGAATTAGAAACAATTAAATGAAGCAGATAAATTCACTTTCTATTCAGCATCTGAAAAGTTTTGTCATAAACAGTCTCCTACTGTACACTGTTGTTGTTTGTACCTAAAATACTCTGCAGAAATACTTGGTGTTCAGAAAAATGTGTTGTTTATCAGCTCTTGTTGGATGATAATCCAACTCTTTCTGACACTTTATGAATCTTACTGGAACTCCTGTCTTTGCTCTTGAATATTTTGGTCTGATCTTTGTGGTATAAAACCTATCTCTCATGCTTTCTTTTTTTCCTTTTTTTTCTTTGCCTCATTAATACTAACAGCTTTTCCATCTTCTCCTTCCTCTGGTTCCTCTTTGCCATTGCTTTTTTCAAGTCATTGGTTCTCTTCACCTGTGCTACTTTCACTTAGTTCTTCAGGCTGTCAAGATACTTGGAATGAGCTTTGTGTCACTTTATTCTCTGTATAGCTGTGCCCCTCATGTCAGTGGTACTGGTTTATTAGCTTTCATTGTTAGCTTGACTCTAATCATGATTTAATACATGTCCACTCCCATGTTTGTTCAATCACTTTCATGGCCATCGTTCACAACATTGAATGTTCCTTCAATGTGAGGTCCAGAGAAATGTTACCAATGCCTTAATCAGCTTGGAAATAGTGATTTACTTTGGGAGCTTTATGATGTGTGCCCACCAATTGCTGTCAATGTGTATATCTTGTATATCAAGTTTTCTTGATTCAAGGTGGAGTCAACAAAATATTTTCTACATTCCATTGCCAATTGTCTAGATGCTCCCTGGATAATGTCTAGCATGTATTTGCCTATTGCTATCAAGGCATCTGCTGCTTAACTCTTCCTGTGAAGGGCTGGATACAGGGCTGAAAGAGAAGTTAGGATGCTTTTGTTAAGAGGTAGTTTGGACATGAGGTAAGAACGTGCAGATTTTTATGCACCTTCTAGTTTTTGAAAGAAATCTGGTAGCCAATAAGTACTTTCCTGATGCAGCCTTTCAAGTTGACAAGTATAGAACAGTCCAACACACATCTTTATCCTGGGAAGTAGATTTGAATCTTTGTTGGAATTTAGTTTCAGTAGATCTTTCACACCACAATCTGGGATAATTTCAGTTTTCATACACAGACTGAAAAAAGCTCTTACACAACTCAAACATGCTTGTAAGGAGTTTACAGATGTGAGGTTTCTCTGTCTAGAACAGCGTGATGAAACTCTGAAATTCAGGCAGGATTCCATGATACAGGAGTTAGAATGTGTTTTTTTCTGTCAGAGCTGGTAGTTGTTTTTGATTCCCATGGATATCTACCAAGATAAAAATATCATCTTCTGTCATTTCCCTTCACTTCAGGATGTTCTGATAAATATCACCAGAAACAAAACAAGTCATTTAAAATTAACACTGTTTAAGTACTAGGTAATAATGCATATAATAATATCTTCTACAGTACATGTAAGAATATTGTTACATGTAGTAATTTATATATATATATAATAATACAGAAATTAACACTGTGTTACATTATGGCAGTACATATGAATTTAAGCTTCATTGTACATCTGATTGGTTACACATGGCTCGGAAAGTAAAAGGTTTTAAATTTATAAATGATAAATATAGCATATTTATCAGCAACACAGCCTAGCATCATAGTGACTATACAGCACACACCAAAATCAAACACTAAATTAAAATCAGTCACTTTTGCAAAAAATGTATCTAGTGCAAAACTGAAAAAGTAAATATATGAAAAAAAAATTAAATCAAAGTAATACATTTTAAGATATCTTCACATCCTTAATTTAATGCATAATAAATGTATAGACACAGGTACTAAACTTGTAAGTTTTTGAACAAATATTGTTTTATTATTTTATAATATATCCTTCTTGATCATAAAGTATCATGAAAGTTTCAACTATGTTCAATGAATTTTGAGATATTTTTTCCTGATTTTTGCTTTCTCCTCAAAGGTAAAGAAATTATAGTAGTACAGTCTAACTGGTTTTAACGATTCTTCCATCCTTTCTGTTCTGTGACCTGGAGCATTTCCAAAAACCTGGATGATACTGGCCTCAGCAACTCCTTCACTGTTTTTGCATTCTTGCTCGAGAACCCCCAATGAAATATTTGTTGAATATCATGGAATTTGGGCTTAGTTTTTCATCTTTGTTCAATACCATAATAAACCATTGTCAAATTTCTAAAACAATTTCTATGAGTCATTAGACATGACAAGCACAACATCGCCTGCAATATCCAAAAGATGTGGGTTCTTCTTCCTTATTAATGCTTTCTTTTGAGCCATGCATTGTTGCACAAGTATCCATTAAAGCATTAACAACATTTTCTCAAAGTACATTTGTAGTTCATTTCCTGTAATCAAATTATCTAGTTGTGCAAAGATATTGTCTGTAGTGGCCTTGTTTTCAACAAATGAAACTAGGAGTTCACATTTTACTTCCCAGTGACCATTATCAAAATATTGTACTAACACATTCACCATCTTGTCCATACTGTTATTAATGGCTTTATCTAGTAGTAATGAAAATGGACAGCTTTTCAATTCTGAGGTCAGAGCATACTGGAAACCCTCATCTGTAGCTTACACAGGTATATGACATTCTGAGCTTGTTGAGTGCCTGCTTGTCTTTTGTTTATTTTTTTGCAAGGTAAATAACACCTTAAAAGCACACTGTATAATTTTCAGTAGGCCTGTATAACAACTAGATCTAGATCCTACAATAGACCTATGGGTGAGACAATACTAAGTTTAGATTTCTACATCTAGGCCTAAAACTAAACAACATAGGTCAGCATATTAAACTGTGGGAGACTACATCTGGATACAAGATCTATTTAATTTAAAATCATCATGGTTATGTTTCAGACCACACAATCCAAATGACTGATGACTAGCCTCCACCCAATACATATTTTCTAACTAGATTTACATGAATTGCAAAAATATTTTGTTAATACCTGAGAGACAGAAAACTTTCATTCATGGACAGCTACACAAATTCTGAATCTTGGACAAAAAATCCTAGCAAGATGTCATGAAGAAATTTGGTCATTGATGGCTATTTTGATACCCCCAAACTATAAATAACCTAAAGACAGTTAATCTAAAGCAAATGATGTGTGTCTTTCATACCAGGTTATCAAGTTTATATATTGTTGTAGAAGTAAGAACAGGCACCAATGAACAAAATACTGTGTATTAACAATCAATCAATTATGATACAGATAATTTTAGCTAAATAACATTGATCATACAAAAAACCAGCAGCAAGTGTAATTTATCATTACATTACTTTACCTATGTTAACAATCAACTGCTTAACTCATAATGTTTTGATGACAGAGCACCACAGAATGACAAACCTTAATGGGTGGAAACCAAGGTTCCCCTTTCTATAGATATCTGAGTCAAAGAACACATGCATGATAACTAACTGTGAAAAATGGAAAATCAGCTAAAAAAGAACAAAGCTTCAATTATCAGATAACTGAAGAATGAATTGTGTTTTGTTTAGCATGAACACAGTCTAGGAATATAAGAGTTGTAGTCAGGGGCAGACTGACTCACCAGGATACCAGTCAATTGCCCAGTGAGTGAGTGCATTTGACAGATTCTTAAAAATTGATTTTAAATTTTAAGTGTTTAGCCAGTATGCAGCATGTGATATTGCCTAGCAGGTCCTTTAATGCTAATCTGCACATGGTTGCAGTCAATGCACAGAAGTTAAGAAAAGCTAGCTTAAAAGTTAACATTTTCTTAAATTAAAAATGTATTATCAACAATACTTACCTCCTCTAACACTACAGCTATTACTCGACTGCCAGGGTTTCTTCCTTTGACCATCTAAGCATTGGTCTAATTTTTTTCTCACTTGCTCCAGTCTTTTATACCCCATTTAATTGCCACTGGCGATATATGTCTCGTGACACTCTCCACCTACAACAATGCACCCTCTGTCCTGGTACTGTATAAAAGCACTTCATTCAGATAATGTTATCACTTTTTTGAGACCAACTTAATCCCAGTCTCTAACACTGACTCTTAGCGGGGAGGAAGGGTGAGAAAGTGTCAGCAGAGGTAAGTATTATTGGAAATATATTTTTGATTTAAGAAACTGTTAACTTCCAAACATACTTACAACTAGAATCCCACATCGATAAGGTGGAGGGGCTCATGAGGGCATTACCCATACAAAATGCATCTGCACAGATCGTGGGTAAGCCAATAGAAGCTTAACACCCTAGTGGGAGAACCACATTACATCCAGAACATGTATGCTCTTCACCCAGAACTTAATTCATGTACTGTGAGTGGAATTTTATATGATCTGTCATCACCACTGGCCAGGCCACAACCAGATAGCTAAAGTTCCACTGCTCGGGGTTGGAATTATAGAGCCATGGTCCATATATCCCACTTTAGTAGCTAGGACAATTGGACCACAAAATATATACATACATACTTGTGAGTGGATCTGAACCTGTAGCCTTCCAAACCACTAGAATCACGACTAGAAGGAAGGCAACCTGAAAAAAGTATGAAGGGCAACACCAAAAACTTGGAATGATGGGATCCTGTATGCCATACTGAACCTGAGGAAACAGAACTCATCCAGTCTGAACTATGAATACACATCTTCACTTCCCAACTGAGTGGGCAAGGTAAATTCCACTTGTATCCGGAATTGTGGGAAGGATGTGGAATGAACTGTATTCAACTAAGGACCCAGGATAGGACCACTTTGCATTCGGAATTACAATGACATAATGGACCCTCTTCCATGAGCAATGTACTGAACTAATATTTATCAAAAAAGAAGGGCCACGCTCAACCCAACCAGATAGCCGAGCATCAAATCTGAACCAGTATTATGGGTAGGTTCTCGTGTAGGCTGGTACCTCTCCTACCGATATCTGGGGAAAAAAAAACACCCAGTGACCTGGGTAGGAGGGCCCCAACTTTGCCCCCTTCTCCAAGAGAAATTCACTCTAACACTCTGGAGGAAAAGAATCTGTCCACCACCCCAGTGACTGGAAACTGGGTGTGGTAAGGACTCTCTAGCTCCACTTGTAGAATCTGGAAAGGTAATGCATGTTGGGGAGTCCCAACGAACAGTGCTCTGGAAACAGTGCAATAGGCGAACCAAGTTCCCTAAATTTTTAAAAGCAAACGAACCCTGATTTATTCAATTCAAGAATCTGCACACATGAGCAGGGTCCCCTCATGCTTTACTCATGATGCTCCATTAGTGGCGGTTCAGCACAGTACAGGAATACCACCTGGTCAGCCTCTAGGTGGTCTTATGGAACACCTCATTTCTACAGAGCCTGTTGCAACCTAGATAAATTATATTGAATTAGTGGTTGCTAGTGCAGAATTGGTTTGATAAAAGCACACCTGCATGGGCAACACTCGCCACAGAGTGTGATCCTGTGAAAAAGATATAAGGGACATAAGAGTAAAGAAAATACAAGAGTAGTTATGAAAATACTCACCCTTCTTTATAATCTAATGGACGTGGTTAAGATAGCTACAGGAGGTGGTCAAAAACCCTCAGAGGTAGATACTGCCAGATCATGCAAATAATGTGAGATAAAAGTATTGGGGAAGGTCCACATACCAACCTGCACAATGTCCTCCAGTCAGCAATTCAACCAGGCCACTAAATTCATACAAAGTTGTCACTGGACATAACAAATAATCGAGATTCGATTGGTCATAGAAGTGAGAAATAGAGATCAGAGGAATCGTTAAAAAGGATTTATCCCCTTCCCTGGCTGCCAGTATCTGAGGGAAAATGAACCAGTTTGAGGATGTAGGCAAAATGATAAAGCATCCTGTGCACAATCAGCACAAACACCTTCAGGGAAAGGTGATACATTGTACAAGAGGCTAAGATCTCAAACGCATGTTGAGAAAGGGCATGTAATGTCACCTTAATATACCAGTTAGGTAACTGAAACAGTCACTTGGAACAAAAGACTCAAAATGACAAGGAAGCCTGAGAGTACTGGGGACTCAAATAATTTCTGTCTTGAATATCAAAAGGTAGTTGATAAGGCGTCGTTATACAGGGCAATTGTGGAAGATGCAAAACTCTTGTCAAAGAGCCAGTTAAAAAACGAGTTCTGGTTGACACTTCTGATCGAAATGGGATCAACTTCCCCTCAATACACCATTGTCGATATGTGTGCCATTTCCGTTGATAAATATACATCATGGAAGTAAGCAAAGACTGAGACAGATACATGGCAACCTTAGAAATTAAATCCTGATGCCATGCAAAGGACAGCATAACCTCCATGCCTGAAGCGTGAGCTTCTGGATGGTTGGGTGTATGATGTTCCTCTGTGGCTGCCTCAACAGAGATGGCCAAAGAGGAAGTGGAAGAGTTGGACACTCCTGAAGGTACCACAAAAGCAAAAACCAGGGTTTAGCTGCCAATCCAGTGCTATTAACAGGACCAGATAATGGGTTGGAAGAAATCATAGCTAGTACTTTGAGTAACATATGAATTGGTGGTAAGGCCTAGAGTTGTAATCCCATCCCGTCCTGATGGAATGCATCTATTGCTAAAGCCTGAAGATGAGGTACTGGAGACCAAATTGCATGAAGGTGCATGATGTTAAGAAGGAAGAAATAAACTAATTTGTTATCTTTATGGACTGGACTTTAAATCATTTTCATCAAGTAATTTAAAAGAACCTGCCTAACAAATGAAAAATGTTACAACAATATAATAAGGATAGAGATGTGCCAAATTAGAATTTGGTCAATCTAAAATAATTTTTTGCTCACCTTGCATTGGAATATTGTTGTGTACAAAATAGTGACTACTTTTTTTTTACCCTGGCCAGGTGGTTAGAGAGCTTGACTCGCAGATTCGAATCCCCGTCCCACCAAACATGCTCACCCTTGCAGCCGTGGGGGTGTTATAATGTAATGGTCAGTCCCAATATTCGTTGGTAAAAGAGTAGCCCAAGAGTTGGCAGTGGGTGATGATGACTAGCTGCCTTCCCTCTAGTCTTACTCTGCTAAATTAGGGGTGGCTAGCACAGATAGCCCTCGTGCAGCTTTGCACAAATTTCAAAACAAACAAACTTTTTTACCCATGATAATCTTATTCTTCTCTACCTTCAACAGGTGAGGTGACATGTGCTGTTAAGTTTACTGCCCATTTGTATAGTGATGGAACACTTAAAGTATCAATAAGCTTGATAGCCTAAATTTAGTTGTGTACACTGTTTACCACTACATGATTGATCAGCCCACTACAGTTGTGTCATAAAATGTAAACTTGACCACAAAAACTAAGCATACATACTTGTGTTAACCTGTACCTACTGGTAATTTTACTAAGCATTGTTATATTTAGTACTTATCTGACTTATAATCAATGTTTACTTTCATCAACAAAAATTCAGTGATTTTAGTAGTCTTGTGAAAATTTGTAGAGAAACCTGCAGAACTTTATTAATATTTTCAGCTTGTTACAGGTTTCATACTATATGTTACATATGTACATATGTACAATTGTTAATGATTTAAAAATTACATATTATAAGTTATTGTACTTGAAGCTTGTAAACAGGTTCCCCTGTTATTAATTTTTTTTACCACTATAAAACTTTGAGACAAATTTTAAGGTCAATTTTATATATTAATTTTTAGTACATTTCAACAATTTTAACCCCAAAATATTTTAAGATCAATATTTTGTCATTCTCTGAAATTTATTTAGTATAATTCATGAAGAAAAATGAAAAAAAGTTTGTATTTTGATTTCTGTATTGCTGTGAATAGTTTCATCTGTAAACAACGCATTTATTAATTTTTTTATGATTTTTCTTCACATCCCAAAGAAGAACTATATTTTTGCTAAAAATCTACCACCCCTTGAAAATATATTATTCATTTCTTCATTTTCAAAATTTTTCCTTAATTTTTACACAGACCTTGGATGAAATCTTGTTATAGGGCCACATCAAGTGGTTTGATCATTCACTAATGAAACACTATAAAGAAAGTTACATATGATTGGATACAGCAAGACGTAGACTATCATATAATAGTAAATATACAGGTTTAAGAGTTTACTTTCTGTAAACTTTCTTTTCAATCCTATTTGTTTGTGAATTTTGAAAGTATTTGTGTTTAAATTATATCTCTCTGAAAGCTACAGAAGTTTTATTTAATGAGAAGACATAAGATAACTTAAGATAAGGTAAGCTTAGAGACATATTAAATGGGTATAAAAGAAATATTTAATTCATGTTTAAGTTTGATACATTAACAAATGACAAAACCTTCTCCAAATATTATATCAGGTACAAATAGTTTATCTAGACACATGAATATATATATAAAATAAAGTATGACAAAAAGTCACTTAAATGGAGATTGCTTAAGGCTTAATAAAGGTATCTGGTTGATGTTAAAATTACAGTTTTTACTTCTTTAGTAGATATACTGTTTTATTAAATTGCAATGTTTGTAAACATGAAATGGTTTTGTATTATGTTCACCTAATAAAATAATTATTAAATCAGATAACTTTAAGTTAAGTTTAATGCTTAATGAGTGTATTAAGTGACTGCAAAATATTCTGGTGACTGAAATCTGTATTGAATATTATTTTTATCCGTATCTTATTCAAATAACATAATTAAAAAAATTGTCTAACTAGCTACTTCATTATTTCTAATTGTAACCATTGACGTTTTAAATTTAAAATAAATTATTAACGTTATCGGTAATGGTAAAACATTTTCATCATTCAATTATCAATTTATTTGAGTTTCAAGATATCAGTGTGAGACTACTACATATTCTAAAAACAAACATTACAGCAACTGCATGGTGGTATTTAGTCAACTCATTTATCAGTTAATTCATCAAGAAGGAAATGTTTGTTTATTTTAGAGCAAAGCCACACTGGGCTATCTGTCAAACACAGAGAATTGAACCCAAATTTTATTTTTTGTCTGAAAACTTACCACTGTCACACCATGGGACAGCAGAAAATGTCTAGATTATCTCAAAAAAACCTTTGTGACAAAATACTTTTTTAGAAAAAAAGTTATATTATATGTTTTTTGTAATAGCATGATACAATAATGCAGTGTTTGAAAAATTTATGAAGCTAGCACAAATCCACAAATTTTTCTTCTTGTATGGGGTGTGTGTGTTCTATGGGGCATGCATTAATTGATTAGCAAGTACCACTAGTCATCAAGTTATATCTGTTGAACATAGTGCAGTAAACTATCATAGCTAACAAACTATATTATAAAGTTTTGTTATAGATCTGTATATTGATAGGAAGTTAGTATAAATACTAAAATTAAAACACTGTGATTTGTGATATTTATTTACATTCTGAGTCAGCTGGAAAATACAAAACAACAGATGAAGGTAAAGTCATGCTTTGTGTGAAATAGTTCAATAATAGGATAGTAACACGATAAAATGATATATACAGCTCATACCACTGGCTTATTTCCTCTTGTAATTTTAAGCTTTAATACCTTACTCAATATTTTGGGAAAAAATGTTCTTCTCATCCTCAGCACTTTTTTTTATCATTTCACTATAACCTTTTTCTGAACTCATGCCTGTCATTTCTTCGTGATCTTCATCACTGAGAAAGAAAAAATAATAATATGGGTAATTTCTAATTCTATTAGTGTCAGTGTTTCTAAGTATACATTTTTTAATATTGTAAAATTAGTCCTACATATGAAATAATGAATTAGGCTATATAAGTTTTATGTATAATATATTGTAGCACTAATTCAGTCACTGAATTACCATAAAGTGGGTGAAACTGAAGGAAAGTAGCTGCCATCAACAAGTACGGAGTTTTCTGATGGGTGTGAAATTAACAATGTCAAACACAAACATTTTCAAAATTGAAAATAGCTATTCATTAGAAAGCAAATACATTTACCAATTAACTGAATAGCTATAAAGATTCTTCTTGGTTAATACACTGTGCTATCAATTATTAACCTAAAATCACACATGTAAAGGAATTAACATTCAAAAATTGAGATTTGTAATCTATTTCCTGTTGGTTATATTTTTTTAAGCAGCTTGACAGACACACAAACCCACAATAAATAATACCAAATTTTTCAATACTCTGTTTTGTCGAGTTGCTTCAAAAGAATGAAAAAGATAATAGTATTTATAATATTTTAGCTACATTTTGTATTATTTATGTACTCTGCTGGAGATAAATTCTTCTCAAAGCCACATGTTATCACCTAATGTGAAATAAGTAGCATTTCAATATACTTAACATTTCATGAATTGTCAGTGTCAAGAATCTCTACCATTAAATGTCTTGTATCTTATGTCTGCAATGATTATTTTCCAACTTTCCTATCTCTATGCCCTAATTACAAGTCTGATAGCCATTTAAATTTTCCCTTTGCTACTCTAAGATTGCAGGACAACCCATTCTTTGATGCTTAATTGTTAACATATAAAACTCTTCAATATCCATAATAATAAAATTTAAAACAAAGAAAGGAAATAATAATATATTTGGATTGGACATGAAAATCTCCCCATGAAACTCATTTTTGTTAGAACTTTTATATTTTCTTAGGTCACTTTTGCAGAGTCTCCATTTTGGAAGAATTAAATTGTGATGTTGATACAAATGCATGTATAATGATACAATGGGGTACAACTGGAAGGAACTGAAAGGACCACAAGATATGATGATGCTATAATGATACTTATATTTCACAAAAACAAAACAACATAAATTCAGGCATGACACTGAATTTGTAGTAAACAGTAACATAGCCACAAGCTTTTTAATATAATAAAAAAACATATTCACTACTGCCAATCTAGTACTTGACAGGTATGCCAGGTCAGCTTGGCTTACTTCCTCAGAGTTTTTGGTTGAAGTACTACTTTGTTGTATAAAAATTCACTACTGCCAATCTAGTACTTGACAGGTATGCCAGGTCAGCTTGGCTTACTTCCTCAGAGTTTTTGGTTGAAGTACTACTTTGTTGTATAAAAATTCACTACTGCCAGGTATGCCAGGTCAGCTTGGCTTACTTCCTCAGAGTTTTTGGTTGAAGTACTACTTTGTTGTATAAAAATTCACTACTGCCAATCTAGTACTTGACAGGTATGCCGGGTCAGCTTGGATTACTTCTTCAGAGTTTTTGGTTGAAGTACTACTTTGTTGTATAAAAATTCACTACTGCC